ACTGAAGCTGTGTAACTTTGCCGATAAAGAAGTGCCAGAATTATCCATTAACAACAAACATGCGGGCTGCTAGCTCTAAGAGCCGATACAGGAACGGAACTCGTAAAAATAATTACTTCACTATTTTTATCAGGAGAACGGAAAGGTGAGGAGATAGGGATCCAAAAATTTTTGGAATAACGATATCTTTGGTCGTCTTGCTTGATCGCGAGAAGTGATTGTGTGCCTGTGTAGTGAGTTTACGAAGCTATCATATTAAGGTAACTCTTCAGAATATTGAAAAATCACGGTTGTTTTCGGAGAAGATATTTCCGCATCTAACGTGTTGAGCCGGGCCGACCAGAACATGGAAATACATTATTACAAACTACTGAGCTCAACAGCGAGGACCTTTAAAGACTATGCGATAATTTACACGAAAGACCTTCCTTCATAAGATCAATGCCCTTCACCTTTTCGCAAACCTGATACAGCGAGAGAACAGAAATGACAGGGGAAGCTTCTATCCCATGACATACGCGGAACCCTTTCTGGTGTACGCTCAAGCGTGGATTTAATTAAGCAGTTTACACACTAGCTCAACGCATGCCTGAGTAACAACAGCTTATAGCTTACACCACAGCCTCCTTAACTTCACATAACTCTCTACTTATTTCATATTAGCAAGCATGTTTGGTTTTACTACGTTTTATGTTACCAGAAGGGTTATTATAAAACGAGTTTGGCAATTAAAATTCCTATCGCGCGCCGGATCCACATATTTAATTTCATCCCCAGCGGCAATGCTCAAAGAAATGTGATTTCTTTTGGACTTCAACATTTATTCGCGTATTTATCGGTCGATTCACTTGCTAAAATACACATATTCCATTGCACCTCCCCACACGGAAATATTTTGTGACCTGCTGATACATTTTTATTACAGGAAATATAAAACCTGTGCAGATTCCGTTAGCCCTTTTTGTTGCTTATTTTGATAAACTCCGGTGTCATTTCGACCGACAGCCCTCCGAAAATACAAAACATAATGCACGTCCTGAGTCGTTTATCCAGTTACCTTACGGCCTTATCTCCTTGCGCAAATATCCAAGATACGTAGCGTCAGCGTTGAGGTTAGGGTTATTGTTGACTAGGAGGTTAATTATTTGTTAGCGTAACTGAGTTTTGAGGAGAGCAATTTAAACTCGCGTTCCATTAAGCAGGAGTGGGCACATTTTAAAATTGATTTTTTGTCTAACACAATTCGAGAGATCGACATTGTGAGAAAGCAACTGCTTTTTAAAAAAAACCAGTAGTCTTATCGACGTTTTCATATTAACATTTTCTTTAAACGCGCCCTTCTCGTTCGGATATTGTAGAAGGAAATAAAGGAACTTGCCCAAAATGAACGCCATCTTATGATCAGTTGACATTTTTTTCATACAGAAAGACAATCCTTGAGCATTTTTCTTTCCGCTTAGATGTAATTAAATTACGGAACGTGAAAATGGTTAATATTTTGAACAGTATGTGACTATTTATATGGCCACTCTTCTATGCCATCATAGTCGTAAAATGACGCTTAAAAGGAAGCAAAATTAGCGAAGCCATTTCTAAGCTGATGCTTATGGTTTTGCCATAGGGTTGGCAAGGAGGAGTGCCAAAAAGTGTATGAAATGATCGACTTTACATTAAGCACATTTCAGGAGCGACTGAGGGCATGGCTGCGGGACTCAGTGCCGGAATTTCACTCGAGCCTAAAGCTGCCATACGCGGCCGGGGCATGAAAACCAAGGATGGATGATGTGCCGAGGGGCACCCTAGAGCGTAAACATATATGTTCTCTTAATGTGCACAAAATGGTATATTTACAAATGCTACGGATCACATGCTCTTGGTCGTAAGCATTTTACCATGAAACGAGCATCAACAGAAAGAGAATGTTTTTTTAATAAATCATTTCAGCGAGCAAAAGGTTTAGTTCTACGTTCAGGAAAATCAAGATCAATTCAATTTATCCGTGGAAACTGCAGTTATGTGCCTTTGAACCCCTTATTTGCTTCCATACAGGTATGTAAAATTGCATTGTTTTCGATTGCACCTGAGCATTCTTTTTAAATTAGTTTGCCACTGATTTGCCTCTCATGTTATGACATATTCTATTCCCATATAGTACCAATCGACGCAATCAAGCAAAATTGTGTTTGCCATAAATAAAAGCATCTCAAATGCTGAAGAAACGGAAAAAATAGTGATATATTCTCCTAAGACCTTTACTAGAATATAGAATTGAAATCGAGACTGTTTTTGACGGCCATACTTTATATTGCACCTTATATGGAAGAAAACCCCAGAGAAACATTCACTGAAGGAAGATTTTTAAAAGAACTTTCACTTGTGCTGCTTTATTCGCTCGTTTTCTCTACATAGACAAGTTTTCTGTGCAGCCACAACTCAAGTTTTCTTAGTTACATCAATTTTACACGTTTTTGAAATTTTCCGCTTTCTCCGAAAAATTGAACATTTATAAACAAGGTAACATGCATTTATAAACAACAGTAGGCATCTTTTCCAAGAATAGTCGGTGCTTTACTACTGCAAGACTTTGGGAAATGCAATGTGGTTGCATTTAAAGTTCATGAGATCTACTGTAACAACACAGGTAAGATTAAATGCAGGCTCGAATTGCGCACTAAATACGTGACGGGGGGAAAAAGTATCAAAAAGCTGCCCACACCTACGAAACGGTTCGTGATTTTAATTTTACATCTACCAAGATCAACAGCGATGTCGGAAACAGAAAAATAATTGAAGTCTGGGCGTAGAATGAGTACTCAGCAAGTCCATGAATTGTTCTGGCGCCGGCATACAGAGCACTTTGGAGTCACTCCCGCTTATAATTTGCTGATCGCGGTTTATTGAAGAAAACCTCCTAATGATTGTTGAAGCATTGTTTTCCCGGAAGAAATTTGTACAAGGCGAAGATCACTAGATTAGTAGAATTTAATGACGTCATAAATTTCGTGAGATTTCATTCAGCTGCAGACGGTCGTTGCCTATAAATAAGAGAATTAACGGTCCAATTAAGTGTCAGCCTTGAAGTGTGAAACTTGGTAGGTAAAGGGAGAAGAAGTTATTAGTCATAGATGGGGGTGCATAGTGAGGGATAGAGCAGGGTGGGGGGAGGTAATAGACGCAGCATGGCAGTTCATGTTAGTGCATGTTCATGAAAACCTGTAGGACGTG